GCATATCCAACGAAATAACCACTAAGAGTTCTAGGGTCAAGTTTCTTTTCTTGAGGGTTATAGATTCTTACTTCACATGGGCAGCCCCAAACGCGTATATGGTTCAAACTCGGTTTCCATCCTTTAAATAACTCAAAAGGAGTCTTAGAGACAGCCTTAGATGGAACCCGGTTTAATATATATGCGGCTGTTTTTAGTGCTTCAACCCACAAAAATTGAGGAAGTTTCACATTACTCCTCATGCTTCTCACCATGTCCATTAAAGTCCGGTTCCTTCTTTCAGCTACACCATTCTGGTCCGGAGAACCAGGCATAGTGTATTGGGCAACGATCCCATTTTCTTGAAGAAACTTCGCAAATGGACCAGGTGCTTGTCCACTCTCTGTATATCTACCATAGTACTCTCCACCCCTGTCCGACCTCACGATCTTAATTTGCTTATTACATTGCTTCTCTACTTCAGCCTTAAAAACTTTAAAGGCATCTAAGGCCTCGTCTTTAGAACGAAGCAAGTAGAGCTACATGTATCGTGAATAATCGTCTATGAAGGTGATAAAGTATCTCGGACTATTTGCATCCATATCTGGACAACAAATATCTGTATGTATGATTTCTAAAAGGTTAGAACTCCTCTTGGCATCTTTCTTGTACTTGTTGGTTTGTTTACCCTTAATACAACCCACACAAGTATCAAAATCAGCAAAGTCTAGAGTACTGAGTACTCCTTCATCCACTAAACGCTTAATTCTCTTAATGGAGATATGCCCTAGTCTCCGATGCCACAACATAGAGGATTTCTCATTCACAACACACCGTTTGGAACCAGTTGTTACATGCATTGAATCATAAGCAACATCATTTTTCACATCAATTGAATAAAGACCATCAACTAAAGAACCAAAACCAATGGTTTTTGATTTATTTATTAAAGTAAAACCAGAACTTGAGAAGTTGAAATTAAATCCTAAAGGAGCTAGTCTCGAAACAGAAATTAAATTCTTCGAAAAACTAGGAACATAAAAGGTCTTTTCCAATTTTAAAATAAAACCGCTGCTTAAAACTAAATTGCATGTCCCAATGGCTTCAACATGTGAACTTATTCTTCCTCCTGAATAGATGCATTGTTCACTTGCCACTGATTTCCTTAGGTTTTCCATACCCTGCAAGGTATTAGAAACATGGATTGTAGAACCGGAATCAATCCACCATGTGTTGTGATTAATATTAACCATATTAGATTCATAACACACAAAGGCTAATGGAGTACCTTTCTTTTCGAGCCAGCTCTTGAATTTTGAGCATTCTTTCTTCATGTGTCCCTTTTTCTTGCAAAAGAAACACTTAGACTCTTTCTTAATGACTGCCTTTGGAGGGATGCTGCCTTTAGCTTTGGCATGATCCTTCTTTTTCTTCTCATGGACAGTCAAGTTCACCCGTTCACCCTCTTCCATTATCAGCCTCTCCTCCTCCTGAACACACATGGTCAGTAGCTCATTAATTGACCATTTTTCCCGATGTGTGTTGTAGGAAATCTTAAAAGGAGCGTATTGATGTGGAAGAGTGTAAAGAATGTAGTGAACCAGAAAAGCATCTGACATGGTTACCTCCAAAGCTTTCAACTGAGCTGTTATGTCCCTCATGCGCATGATGTGCTCACGCACGCCTCTTATCCCAGTGAGCTTCATGGATGCGAACTGTATGATTAAGGTGCTGGCAAGGGCCTTATCAGATGTAGCAAATTGCTCATCAATAGCCTTCAAAAGGTCCTTGACTTTAGTATGCTGGTCGACGGAACCACGGATACCAACAGTTATTTTGGTCTTTATGAACATTACGGAGAGACGGTTAGATCTCTCCCACTTTTCATAAAGATGAACTGCATCCGGAGTGCTGGTTGCCGTTATAGCCGGTGGTTCGTCTTTCCTTATAGCATAGTCAATGTCCATCCAGCCCAAATGAAGGAGAACACGCTCCTTCCAAACCTTATAGTTATCGCCCCTTAATTCGGGAATGTCACATTTCATATCAGAAACATTCGCAGGTTGAACAACTGTAAAATATAATATATACATGCTCATTATTAATATTTGAGGTAAAATGAAGTTCATGTTCTACCAATGCAAAACATGATTAGCTAGAAGTCTAGTGACATAAAACTTACCTGTGGGCTAAAGTTTTACTCAATTAGACACATAAAGCAAATAATTTGATAAAACTAACAGATTATATTTCCATTCTCAATTCCTGTGGGTAGTTTGAGAAAATAATCTAATATTTCATCCTAATTAATTATACTAATACAATGAAATTCCTATGGGCAGATTTCAATATATTTCGTATAATTAATCACAAGTGATGCCTTAATGTGATTCAGAAACTCAATATATAATTTAATTAATCAAAGATGCTGTGGCTATTCTTTAATCAATTAAATTACATCTGAATACCAGATTTCAAGTCTAGTTCTATTAAGCAAAATGATTTAACAACATTCTGGAGTATTATAAATCACATATAGCATTCTGATTCCTTTACAGAATTACAACACTCCTGGTTATTGAAAATCACGAGGAACAACATTCTGGTTCTAATGTGATTTCTCAACAGATTATGCAGCTTATTCACACAAAAGCAGTACACTATTCAAAATGGAATAAACTGAAACAGATGAATTGAAAATAGCTAAATAGCTCATGAATGAACTGGACCATTTCAATACCCAGGATTAAAACTTAAACTCTATCATGAGAACATAACATAAACAATATCACTGGTGCTGAATATGTTTCGGTGCATATTGTGTTGTACTTTAAGTCTTTCACAATCTTTCACCGATGCTTCTTGAGTCTTAAAAAAAAAATTAAATTTTAAGTTTTTCACAAGTCTTTAAGTTCACTTGTGAACTAAAATGAACAACAAGGTCACCAGTGCATTAGATGTAAGTGTTTTAATGCACTTTAAACTTTCCAGCCAATTTAAGCATTATGTCAAACACTTTATGGGCATGAAAAAGCAGATTTCAAAGTTTATCTATAATCATAAATCAGAGCACACTTATATATCCGATTGTAAATTAATGATGAATCTAGATATAAAATCTGGTTGTAACCCAATGATTATCATTCAATCCAGGATACAAAAATCATACATTAACATATATGCTACGAATAAAACTGGAAATGGGTTCAAACAGAGTATTAAAAGATCGGGAATGAACATTGAACATACGTTCTTTACGGTGGTTGGGTTCAATTAACCAATTATATAAGCGGATGTATGCTCAGTGTAAATTTCAGAATCGTAAATTCCAGAACATAGTTTTAAAAAACTTTGGGAATAAACCGCTGTAATCAATCGCACATATATAAATCATGCTCGAACGAATATCACAAAGGAAAGGCAGAGATGATAGCCGAAGCTCTGATACCAAATGTAAGAACAGGCTGATCTAAACATGTTAAATCTCACAGAACACATTCAGATCAAGACTTTAATTAGCGGAAGTAAAATATTGAATCACATACCTCCAGCCATTTCCTTGAAGAACACAGCCCACTGCTCTACTTGTTTTGCTCTTCCAAGCCCTTCTCTTCACTCAATTTGATGGTGTGTATACTGATAGTGAGGAGCAGGCTCAGGGATGAAACAAGAGCCAAGATGCCGCTGCTATTTATGGAGCTCTTCCCATCAAAGAGTTCCCAGTCGTGCGGCCGATTAGTAGGGAGAAGTTACCGATCTTCTCTCGCTAATAAATTGGGGAAAATAATGGGTAATCTTTATCTAATAAATGGACCACTTCAGATTAGTTTTTCCCCTTAAATAAATGTACTTTATTTTCTGAATAATTAATATTAAAATATTAATTAAATAAAATGTAACTAATGGGAAAAACTAACACTTAGGTCCTAAAGTAATAGTTTTCAATCATTCAGGTCCTAAATTGATAGTTTTTCATCATTCGGGTCCTACATTGATGCATTTCATCTTTCAGGTCCCGAATTGATAATTCGTCTATCTTTCGGGTTCTGAATTGATAAAATTCCTTTAAGTTATTGAATTACTTTTTTTGTCCATTGTACGAAATACTTAAAAAATTCTTATGTTACGTTGCATATCGAGCCTTTTTGATAACACCAGAATTGGTTAATTTTGTAGAAATTGATGAAATTTTGGTCGCAGTGATTGAATTGACTGATAAAAAACAAGATCAGATTAGAAAGATTCATATCAGACAAGAATGATTCAGATTGGACCAGGAAAAAAATTCAGATCAGAAAATTTCAGATCAGAAAATTTCAGATCAAGTCTTACCATATCTTAAAAATTTCAGATCAGAAACATTCAGATCAGATGAATGGAACAATTTCTAAGAATATAAAATGTAGCAAAATGATAAAAATGTAATCGTGGCATAGTTTGAAGGAAAAAACCCCGTCTCAGAAAGATTAGTTAAAGTTGATTTTCACGTGGATTAATAAATTAAAAATTGTGTGGTTGAAATTTGTGCAGATGAGAGAAATTAACTTTAGCCACATATTTTTTTATTTTAAATGGAAATGACAAATGTTGTTGGGACATCTAAAAAAGGAAATTTGGTCAACCTTTTCGAGACGAATGGAGTAATAATTATGTAAAAAAAGTAAAATAAAGGGGATTTTTGACTTCACATCCACTTTTTAGGTGATATTGAATTTTGCATCTATTTTCACAAAAATTTGACTTTCGCACCGTCTTATAACACTGTGTGAATAAGAAATTCCGAACGGGGTGAAAAGTAAATGGATTTTTAAAGAAAATAAGGTGCAAAGAATTTTTTTTTTAAAAAATGTAAAGTCTAATATCACTCAAAAAGAGGGGTGCAAAGTCAAAATCCTTTAAAAAGCGAGGGTAATGATAAAAATGATAAACAAAACTCGAATTCTATTGGTCTCTACAAATGACACGGATGGAACTGTCTATCGTTCTTTACCGCCGATTAACTTCAATCCAACGGCCACAATGAGCGATTCCGAAAACCAAAATGCTTCCGGGGTGACTATAAAACTCCCCGCCTAACCCAACCGTAAATCTCATTCTCTGTATTCTCTCAAATTCGTTGCTCAGACAGCGTTTCATCAAATCGTCGTCGGATTTTTGTCTGCAATCCTCATTTCACATGGATACTACCGCAAAAGTGAAGAAGGGAGCCGGCGGCCGGAAAGGTGGTGGTCCGAAGAAGAAGGCTGTCACTCGCTCTAACCGCGCTGGCCTCCAGTTCCCCGTCGGTAGAATTGGCCGATACTTGAAGAAAGGCCGCTACGCCCAGCGCGTCGGTAGTGGTGCTCCCGTTTATCTGGCCGCCGTTCTGGAATACTTGGCTGCCGAAGTAAGTTTCCGTTTTCGCTCCCGGTGAAGAATCTTATTATTCCTCTACGTTTAATCTTAGCGATTGTTTTCTCCATGACCTAGGGTTTGGCAAATCCCGTTTGATTAGTTGAATTTTGTTCTTAGAGTTTCTGCTCCCCAGAAATCTGTTGATCCCCAGACAAGTTTGATTGATGACATATTTGAGATCTTATCTGATAAAATCAATGTTGGATGTTTGATATCTACAGGTTTTGGAGCTAGCTGGAAATGCCGCTCGTGACAACAAGAAGAACAGGATCATTCCAAGGCACGTTCTGTTGGCTATTAGGAATGACGAAGAGCTAGGGAAATTGCTTGCTGGGGTTACAATTGCCCATGGAGGCGTTTTGCCAAACATCAACCCCGTTTTGTTGCCTAAGAAGACAACGGCTGACAAGGCAACAAAGGAGCCCAAATCTCCATCAAAGGCCACCAAATCACCAAAGAAGGCTGCCGCTACATAGAAACTCTATGTTCGTAGATGTCTTGTAATTGTAGTATTACTTTATCTTTTCGTTGTGGTTCAGAAATGGTCATGAAGAGATAACTGCTGTTGTTCATTCTCTTTTAGGTTTGCCCTTCATTAATCAATGAAAACTATTGTTGCCATTTACAAGATCTTGAATTTAATGTTTTATTTCTTCCTTGAAATGATTCACGAATCGTTCTCTCTGGCAATATTTGGGGTCTTGTTTTGATTAGGCCTAACAAGACAGGCTCAATCGTTCTCCAATATTTGGGGTCTTGTTTTGTTCAATGGGTCTTGTTTCTTCCTTGAATGGGTCAATCGTTCTCCAAAGTTGTCCTTGTTTTGTATTTCTGATGGTTCATTTATTTCCTTTATCCAAAAGGAACATTTTGTTTGGTTGTGTTAAGATTGAAGTCTTGATTTGGCAGTGACTTTGACTGAAAATGCAATGTTGGACTGCTAGAATATAACTGGCAATTTCGTTGCATGTTATGGTTTTGATTTATACGTAGCATGATGATATATGAAACTGCCGAAAATTCGATAAAAAACGCAGCAACTCAGATGCTAATGATGATAATAGCCTGTTGACAATGCTTTTACTCTTGCATTTTATTCCGTGCAATAATTATGTGCCATTTACTCCACAGCATCTCAATGAAACATCCTTAAACTGTTTTTAACCTTCAACATTGCAAGGTCACACACCACCGCCTTATTATCAAAAGAATTTCAGATAGGCTAACTTCAACTGACATACGAAGTGTATATATCTAACTGTAGGATCATAATGAAGAAACATGCTAAAAGTTCTGTGAAAAATGATGTTGCTCACAGGCTCATCCCATTGACCCATTCTACTGTCAAGTTTAGCCAAAACCTATGTTTCAGAGTTGGATGATCCAATACGCTTATTGAGCAAGGCCTGACTAGGTTACTTCGATTGAGATCCTCTGCTCGTAAGGCAGAGTGCCTTGCGCAAAGAACGACCGGATAGCAAGAAGAATGCCTCCAAGTGTTGAATTCTCGGACTTGACGGTCTCTCTCGATCAGGCACCATACCTTTCTGCTAGAGCAAGGTGGAGACACTGAATCCAAGTTACTTGAGGCCCTTGCTGAGCTCGTTAAGTAGACCGTCGTCATGGACTATGGTTTGAGTTTAGGGTGAACCCTGGCCAGCTTATGTTCTCCAAATGTGGCGCCCGTAGTCAAGATCAAATCTCCATATTAGGTTTGGTTTCTGGTTCCATATTACAGAGTGTTTTGTATTCTCAATCTACAAAAAAATCAAAATGACAGAAATTATTGAATTAGTATGATCCCATTTTAGATAAATGTATCCATATCTGGATTTGATCAATTGCCAAAGATCAAATTCTAGAATTGAGTTTTTCCAAGATTAACCTACACTCTCCATGCAATTTGCGAGCCACCCATAGCCCATAGGCATTATAATATTTACATTCCCGAAAAAAAATTACATTCCGGATATCTACGGAAAACTCTCAATAAATTACGATGAGCGTCTTACACTATCTTCTCAAGAATCTCACTACATGTCAACTTTCCTTGTTAATTACATTCAAGCTGGAACCAAATTGTATTATTAAATGATGTGGCACCTCTTTTACTAATAGTGTCTTGATTCTTTTTGAAAGAATTAAGAACTTATTTATTAAATTAACATATGCATAAACACATTGAGTTGAATTTAACATATGCACAAGACATTCAAGCTTAGTTTCAAAAGATTTTAATGTCGTCTAACATGAATCGATATGTGACATTGGAGCCAAAAGAAAAAGAAAGATAATACTCCCTCCGTTCCTAAATAAACTTCCAACTTTCCTTTTTCATCCGTTCCAATTAAAACTTTCACTTTCCCTTTTTAGTAAAGAATTTGTGGTTCACAACATTTTTTACACATTTCTCTCTCCTCTACACAACTCTCCACCACACAATACCCACTATCTTAAACTTTGTGCCCAAAACTATTTGGAAGTTTTAATAGGAATGGAGGTAGTATAAAAGAAAGATCAATTGGTCACACAAGTGAAAATTTGGAAGCATAACCCAATAATATCGAATCTCACCAACAGTAGTGTCAAAGCAACATCTCAAAGTGATGAGACTTCTTATGCACAATGGACACTTCTGTATTTAGATGCTATATCATTATCGTGGTGTGTCGTAAGAGATTATTGAGATTGAGGATTCTACCTTTTAGAACGATGAAATTTGATTGCTTTTTAGTTGCTTCAGTTGCAATGTGTGACATCAATTTAATTGAGCGAGGACTATACTTTATTTCTACATAAAATGTACTCCCTCTGTCCCGGAAAATTAGTCCCACTTTGACTTGGATCGGAGTTTAAGAAAGTGGGAATAAAGTGGAAATGTATGGTTGTGGTTGAGTAAGAAAAATGTAAATGAATGTTAGCCACACAAAACTTTCCAAAAAGAGAAATGGGAACAATTTTGATGGAGTATATGGCCCGGGAACACCCGGCCCACAGACTCCTACTACTCCTTTAGAGGCCCAACAGGCCCAGAAGGCCCAACAGGCCCAAATCACGGCGCCCAGAGTACCAAGCAGCCCACAAGATGCACCAGGGGTGCCTTCGGCCCCCTGGCCGAAGGCTCCAAACTCTCACAGAACGGATATTTCGAACAAACGGAGGAACTGGGAGAAAACGGCGAAAACAGTAGCCCTCGGCACCTGGAGCCCTCGGCACTCAGGGGCCCTCAGCACTAAGAGCCCTCGGCTAGTCCTCTGCAGCCGAGGGCACCTCTCCCGACATAATATCCGCCTCACATGCGTGCAGATCGCCGTACCCTGTACAGACGTCCCATCCAACAGCCGCATTAAATGCGGCCACATGCGGCTGCCAACGCCAACCAGTTGAGGTGACCCCTCGGCCAATAGGCGCTTGACACGTGTCCCTGTCCGGCATTTATTGCTACTATAAATAGCACCCCATTTCCCCGTTTGTAACCACGACATTCATACTGAATACACTCTCTCTCTACATTTACTTGCTCTGACTTCTCTCTAAGTTATTCCCAGCAATAACCCTTCGGATATATACCCCCGGGTAGACTATCCATCATTTGGTGCTCTCGTTGAGAGGTCTAACAATCGAGTAAGAAACCCTCCCCCTTCGCCAAACACTAGCCCTCTACCAAAATGGTGAGAACAACACGTGCCAACTCAAAAAACGTAGAAGACAAGAACCTGGCCCTCGGCGACGTCAACGCCCCCGAAGCCTCTCACAGGGCTCCCGAGGGCGGTGTCATCGCTGGGCTGGAACAGGCGGCTGTCGACCTACGCCTTCAAATCCAACAAAATGCCCCCGATGCCCGCCTCGGCATCGAGGCCAAGAAGAAAAACCGGAGCGATGACCAAGTCAGCCCTCCGGTTCTCACCATCGACGTGCAATCGGCGCTCTCCGCCTTCAACCAAACGCTCACTCAGAACCCGGGTGCCTTTGGCACCCTGGCTCCGGCTCACCCCCAGGTTGGGGAAAACATCATACTCCCCCCTCCGCCACACCCCTTCGGAAATCCCACCCCTCGGGTGAGGAACGACGAAGGGGTAGTGGCCCAGGATACATCCTCCCAGGAAGTACAGTCCCGGGACCGCCACAATGACAACAGGGAAAGGCCCCGCACTTCCGCCCTCAACCGGCTCGGAGGAGGGCCAGACCGCCGAGGGTCCAAGACCGCCTCGGAGGAAAGGCACTCCAAAGGCCTCAGGAAAGTGGAGGGTCTGTCTCGAGGGCAGACGAGGAGCGTCCACCTTGAGACAAAGGCAAGGCACCCCTTCATGCCAATGATGCTCACCACCAAATCAACCAGGCCCACTCGGCCCGGGTTCTTTCTCAGGGGGCGGAGACCCTCCCGAAGGATCCCCGGGACGAAATTATTGCGGCCCTCCAACGCCGGCTTGACGAAATGGAGTCCAACAAAGCTCACGCCACCACCTCCACCCCTCATTCAGACCTCAAATACGAGGCCATGATGGCCAAAATGGAGGAATTACAGAAGAAGGTGGCCGAGGGCTCCGGGGAACCCGTCATCCAGCTCCGGACTCGGACGCCATTTACCCCAAGGGTATTGGCGGCCCGGATCCCGGAAAAATACCGAGGGCAACATATACAGCCCTACAACGGGAAAACGGACCCCAGGAACACTACAGCAAATACCAGAACAACATGATGATGGTAGGGGCGTCAGACGAATATTTGTGTCGTTGGTTCCTCTCCACCTTAGAGGGGCCGACATACGAATGGTTCAACAGGCTGCCCGAGGGCTGCATTGATTCGTGGCAAGAACTCACCCAGCGATTCTTGACACAATTTGCCGGGAGGCGTCGCACAAGGAAGCACTTCTCCCACCTCCTAACCATACGCCAGAAGAGGGATGAGACCCTTCGGGACTTCCTAGAGCACTGGAGGACGGAGGCCGACAAGGTCGACGGTGCTGATGATGGGACCCTCCTGGCCCTCCTATAAACCGTCCTCCGCACCGGCAACTTTTCAAGGAGCCTCATCATTGAACCCCCCCGCGACTACATAAGGGCTTTGCAGCGGGGGGACCGATATGCTGAGGCCGAGGAGGTGGAGAAGTATCACCAGCATCCGGACCAATATCCCCCGAGGGCTGATAACAAGCATAACCGAGGGCCGGGGGCTCCTTCAAATCACCCCAAGGCTTCGGGACCCTCTGATGACCGCCCTCGGCAAGGCCAAGCCAAGCACGGGGGAGGTTACAAGAGCAGCCCTAAGACTTGGGCGCAACCCATTCTCCTGGACCGCCCTCGGACACCATTGACGCACCCCGTCAGCATCATCCTTGATTTTGCCGAAGAGAGGGGCCTCGTTGAGCGCGATTCTCGCGCACCCCCGGAGGTACATGCTATCAACCCTCAGTTCCCCTACTGTCGTTTCCATCGACACCAGGGGCACCGAACCGATGACTGCCATCAGCTAAAGACGGCCATCGAGAGTTTGATACAAGCGGGGCACCTGTCTCAATTTGTTCAAAGCCCTCGGCAGGAGGGACCTTCTCATCAGGGACCGCCCCGAGGGCACCATACGAAGGTAAACGCCTGGGTGAATCCGAACACCATCCCCCTCGGCAAGAAGAGGGAGATCGGAAACTTGGAAGAAGAGGATGAGTACCCCCACTACCAGGAGAAAAAACGC